AAACAGTCAGGTTCAATGAGTCAGTTTCAAATGAATATGAACTGCCATCTGCCTCATCATTCATTGCCTCGTGAGAGTCTGAATGATTGAGAGGTAAACGAGTCATTGAAAACCGAGCACTCAGTCAGTAGCTAAATCAGCACGTTTATTCTTCCGTGATGGTACCCAATCCTTGTTTTTAATGACTGATCGTACATTTTCTATGGAAAAATGCCTCAATTACAGGCTGTGTGAGCGAAGGCTTCTTGATGTTCGGAATAAACGCAGCGCTGACATCGCGTCTGACCATCATCTCCTGGTCGGTGAGATCCGCCTACGCATTGCGTGGGTTCAACGGCGGGAGGAGAGACTCGGGCGGCGATTCAGCACACGCCGACTGGAAGACCCAGCAGTGAATAGATCATTCGTCGAAGAACTTGAGGCTCGAGCAGCTAATATTCCGGAAGGTGGCAGCGTAGAAGAACAGTGGACGAGCATCAAGAATGCCTTTATTGAAACAAGCGAGAACAACCTGGGTGAGCTGCGCACTCAGAGGAAGAAGTGGATCACCGATAAAACCTGGAAGAAGGTCGAGGAGCCGAGAAAAGCAAAAGCCGCGATAGAGCGAGCAAGGAGCCAAGGAGCCAAGAACGAGGTCTGTCAGCGGTATTCGGCTATAGAGAGGGAAGTTAAGCGCTCTTGTATACGGGACAAGCGAGCGTGGGTGAACTCCCTGGCTGATGAAGGGGAGAAAGCCGCAGCAACTGGCGGTATCCACCTCCTCTATGATGTTTCACGACGCCTGAGCGGGGCAAGGATGAACCCAAGGATGCCTGTGAAAGACGCGACTGGACAGTTGCTCACCGACCCCACTGACCAGTTGAAACGTTGGTTTGAGCACTTTGAACAACTTCTCGAAGTTTCAACGGTCAACCAACCATCAACATCTCGGCATGATCCACCAAGGGTGAGGCGCGTTACTCGCGTCAACACTGAAGATCCATCATTGCAGGAGATAGAAGCAGCCATCCGAAGTATGAAGTCCAACAAAGCCCCGGGGGTCGACCGCATATCAGCAGAGATGCTCAAAGCTGACCCCATGCTTTTTATCACAAATGTTGCATCAACTATTCGTCAATATCTGGGACACCGCAACTTTTCCGGTCGACTGGATGCAAGGCGTCTTGGTAAAAGTCCCCATGAAGGGGGATCCAACTGTATGCGACAACTGGCGAGGCATCATATTAATGTGTATTGTTCTCAAAGTTCTGTGTAAAGTTATCCTCAATCGGATACAGGAGAAGATCGACGCGACTCTCCCACGACAGCAGGCAGGATTCCGTGTCACGCTCCGCATCATCTTGGAGCAGGTCAATGAGTTCCAAGAGTCCCTGTACTTGGTATTCATTGACTACGAAAAAGCTTTCGACCGACTAAACCACGCTCTGAGACGCAAGGGAGTCCCTGATAAGATCGTCAACCTCATCGAAGCGCAGTACGAGGCTTTCTCATGCAAAGTATTGCGCAACGGAGCTTAGTCTGACCCGATTCGGATAATCGCAGATGTGAGGCAAGGATGTATATTATCACCGCTACTGTTCCTCATCGTAATCGACGAGATCATGGTTGGAGCCGTTGACCGTGTACCGAACCGTGGGTTGCTGTGGCAGCCTATTACCATGGAGCATCTCAACGACTTCGATTTGACTGATGATGTTGTGTTATTAGCACAACGGCGCTTTGACATGCAGAATAAGCTCGACGACCTTGTGGAACGCTCCTCTGAAGCAGGTCTAACCATCAACGTCAACAAGACCAAATCGTTGGATGTCAACACGGAAAACCGTTCCAATTTCACGGTAGCTGGGCAGGCAGTGGAGAAAGTCGAAAGCTTCCAATATCTTGGCAGCCAGATAGCGTCGGACGGCATCACCAAGAGCGATATAGGTGCACGGATTAAGAAGGCGAGGGCTGCTTTTGCCAGTTTGCGAAATGTATGGAATCCTAATTTTTAACTCGAACGTGAAGTCTGTGCTGTTCTATGCCAGTGAAACATGGTGTGTATCAGCGGAGAACACTCAGAAGCTGCAGGTGTTTATCAACCGATGCCTGCGGTACATAATTCGTGCCTGGTGGCCCCACAATTGTATCTCAAACTCCGAGCTTCATCGTTTGTGCCATCAGAAGCCGATAGAGACAGAAATTCGTGAACGGAAGTGGGGGTGGGTCGGCCACACACTACGACGGAGCGGAAACGAAATCTGCAAGCAAGCACTGGACTGGAATCCAGCAGGACATCGCAGCAGAGGCAGACCCAGAGGCTCGTGGCGGCGGAGCCTAAACAGTGAAATTAAGAACGTTGACCGAAATTTGACTTGGGCACAGGTCAAGGCCAAAGCTAGTAATCGCCCAGGATGGAAATCTTTCACAAAGGACCTTTGCACCCCTGGAGGTGCGCAGGATCGTTAAGTAGGTAAGTTATCTGAGTCGCCTGTTCGTGAGTGACTGTATGTTTTTGTTGGCTCTTTCATTGCCTCGTCCTTTACCGTTAGGTACAAATAGGGCAGTGCTTTCACACTCAGCCTAAGCAGTCAGTATGCTCTGTCGATGACAGCTTCCAACGCCGGATGATCGGATTCTAGATGTATCAGAGACTCGAATGCCGTGGAAACACCAGCACAAAACCAAGCAGCCGAGAGTTTCTGTTTAGTAGAAAGAATTCGCGTTAAACGTTAAACCATGTAAGTTGAAACCATCCAAAAGAGCACAGCAGGAAGCAGGCATGCACGAACGAAGAATGTAGATGATCATTTGCGGAAACATTCTACATAAGCCCAAAATGGATGTAGTCGCCAAATTGCACAGCTAGTTCGTTGTAATGTAATCGTGACAGTACAGCACCAATTGAACTGGTATTGATCTCAACGCACCTTAAATCAAATTTACGGGCAGGAGGTACTTTCGATAATTATTTGTGCTGTCATATTCTTGACCTACAGCTGCTCTAGAGAAGTGCTGACCGGAGCAGGTTCGAGGCAATAGTTCAGTCGTTTGGAAACCACAATCAAGACACTCGGATAACATAGGTTGGCAGTCAGAAAGGCGATTATACATTATGAACTTTGAAGGTGGATCTGACGAACATTGGGATTATGATGAGCATTAAGTATCACAATGAAACATGAACTACTTGTATGCACTCTATAATATTAGGTGAGCTATACGCTAACTTGAGCAATTATCAGTTGCTGCACATAAAACCATTGACGTATGACGAAAATGAGTAATACCTTGGAAAAATTATCCTTTACTGCGTAGGTAAAGAAGTTTCTTAACCCTTTCCTTTTTGGTTGATGATTTGAGATGCCAAAATGTATTTATGAAGAAAAAAGTTCTTGAACAAAAGAAGCCTAAACTTATCGAATCCATCAAAACAAGTTTTGTTTTAAATTGTTTTTTTCAATACTTTCTCAGCTGAATCCTCAAGAATGCATATGGACGACAATAATTAACACACGGAGAAGCTTAAATAAGTCCTGACTCGGCCTTTTTCTCGCCTTGCTGTTCTTCCAGATGGGACTGATATGCTTTACTGGGTAGTAAAAAAAACTCATGATCTCCTAGGAAATATTACTCAATTACAATTCTCAAAATCACTTTACATCCGTACATAACAACTAAGTCATAATCCCTATTTTGCACAAGCAAAATATTCACAGTGCCACGCACAACAAACAGGTCTAATCAATAAAAAAAAAATCCTCACGCGGCGTAACAAATTTCGACGCGATGTGTCATCGATCTAGAGCACAAACTACACAATCTTCACCGCGCGCCCCGCCACACCCCTCTGTGGCTGTGCTTCCGCAACCCATCCGTCCGTCCACAGCACAGCTAAATTCACGGACATCACAACAGCACCAGCCACTTCCAGCTGTCAGCTGCGCGATGATAATATGACGACTGACGATTGACTGTCATCCCCCACAAGAAGGAACCACTTCCTAATTACGCAATTTCCCTCTCTCAAGGATAAATCCCAACGAAATGGTTCCCATCGTAAGTCTGCAGCTGATTCCGTTACGGACCAATTGCTGCCTCCACGGAAAAAAAATCCAGCAATCGATCGATTTTTTCGACCCCCGTCTCGGTACAAATTTCCAACCAGCCATCTTTAATCATTACAGCTTTTCAAGGAGGATTTTCTACTGTCTGCTTTTTTGATACCCCGAAATTCCAATCCCAAGGGAGGTTTTGCAGCCCAGAAATGGACACAACCGCCGGAACCACTCCCCCCGGAGGGAAAAGAAGCCCCTGGCAGCCAGGATGGGTACTTACAGCAACAAAAATCCGCAATTTGTGGTGTCGTTTTTCCTCCTCCCGTTGAGACTGGTGGCACTCTGGTGAACGTACTTGGCACTCTCTAGGCACCACACACTTGGCAGCAGCAAATCGGGGAAGATTTTTTTTTGTATTTTCGCGTCGGAACTTTTTCACTGTTTTTTCTCCGAACCACAGCTGACGCGGGTGGAAATTTTCCCTAACTTCCCACACGGGCAAAGATGAAAACACTCGCACACGTACCAACCAGAGGTTTTCCGCGGATGGCCGAGAAAAACGACGGAAAAAACGGATAACAAACGCTCAATCGAGATCAATCGACGACGACGACGTCTTTTTTCTCGCGATTTTTTCTTTTTTCTCGAACACCAACGCAAAAAGCGCAGAGCTGCACCACAAAATCGAAATCGAAACTGACTGACGTCAAAGCCCCTGAAGCCGTTTTTGACAGAAGATCGATCAGCGAAAGAGTTTGTCCGTTGCGCAAACAGAGCGATTAGGTAAACTTTTCGCTAACTTGCTGGGCTTAAGGCGGGTATAAATTTTCTTGAATCGTACCCGGTGCGAAAAAAATCGATCGGTTTGTCGTCAATTCTGACATTCGCTTAGTTTGAAAATCGAATCACAACAGCCAAAACAAAAGATTTTGAAAGTATTCATTGTAGATTCAGTGGTTCAATAGAAGTGCTGAAAAGAGTTTTCCACAATCAAAATGAGTCAATCAAGACCATATTATGCCATTGTGTCCGGTTTGTGTGCATCATCAGCGAGTTTCTTTGGAAAATTAAGCTCCCTCGGTCAGCAGCTGGCCGAAAATGTTGGCAACAAAGAGGTTAGTACAACTCCGATAAAAATAATATGGGCTCGAACATCGCGGGTCAGGGTTGCTAGTACTGTTATTATAAATGAAAACTCAAAATCAATAAAATTCTTACACTCAAAAGATTTTCAAATCTAAATAGATTAAAAGTTACAGTGCAACTCTCCTGATCGACGCATAGATTGGTATAAAGGGAGAGAAAACTGACTTAGTATAAAAATGCTTTATGCAGTCAAATGTATAAAGTGCGAATATTCAAATTATGCATAAAGGGGATTTATTCCATGAATAGTATTTTTATGTGCTGGTCAGTGATATTTCCAATGTTATTAATTTTAAACATAATAATAATGTTACAGGAGCAAATTTATTGTCAATTATTATTTATCACAATAAATCATATAACATAAACTGGATTAATTAATAATGATATGCAGAAAATTTGAACCGATAAATAAGTGCAATAGTGGGTATCCAAAATGTTATCTGTGTGGTTTCTGTGAACATTGTTAGAGATGTGGCAACTTGGATCAGCTGCTATCCAGTGATTCCTCGTGTTGGTCGTTTTCATAAGATTGATATTGAAAGGACAGCCGAGTCTCCTAGCAAAATCTACACTACACATCCATCAACGGGGCAAACAATCTCTTGGCCTATGGTGATTTCAAAACTGTAGTCTTACGCTTCTAAAACTGTTCAAACGGTCTGATATCGATCCGCGCCAGTTTCGTTCAAGTTCTGAGTGTATTTATAGTTAGCCTCTTAGGGTCCAACATGCGGAAGAAATTGACCGTGATGGTTCAAACCGAATGGCGCTAGCGAGTGATTGGATTCAGGTTCATATTTTTTGGCGTTGTAACCGGCCTGGAAAGAGAGGATGTTTGGATCTAGTTTAGAGTTGGCACTTGGCAAGCGAAACTGTTCAAATTCACCGTACCAGCAGTTCTTCACCGTTTCAAAACCGGTCATCTTCATTCGGTGCCACGAAGGTCCTAAGCTTGCAAACATGGTGCAATTGAATTTTGGAGATTGTGGTACTTGGGCTCATTTGCTTGCCAACGTTGCTTGAAGCTAAAAACAAAATTATTATTCAAATATTCTTCTCAAATCTTAACTGATTCAATTCTTCAATACTAACTAAAGCTTTGTTTACTCCTTGGTGAACTATGGATAAAGACGAGGACAGGAGTTCCTATTCTTGATTGTAAACATATCCTGCAGCATGTGAAGCTCGACGAGAGGGCTGGAACGACAATGGAGTTTTTCCAAAACAGTTTTCGTCCTTCAGCACTTTTAATTCCTGCACAGCTTTGCTGTCAGTGGTATACACTGATCGAATTCTTCGCCAGTAGTCGTATAATTTTGATAAAATAAAATAATCGAATCAATGTATAAACATTCGTTATGCATAAAATGATTTAATTTTAATCTTATTTTAGTAATATTTTTGAGTGTACACGTTTCCCGAATAATAATGCATTCCTTCCAGTAAAGTTTTACGATTAATAGATCATTAATTTATCGTTACCAATTTCTTCTTTGATTATTATCACTGATTGCCTGCGAAAAGCGAATTCCCTAAAACAGATTTCAAAGTTGAATTTCATGTGGTCTCACGAAACGGTGTTTATTCAATCACCGCATGGTGAGGGTGGTGTTCTCAAGTACACAACGAAAGGCTACTTGCAAGCTGCAGCCCACATGACCGTCCTTAGAAGGAGGAAGAAGCCGCACAGCTATTGATCGGAATCAGTAGCTCTTCGTGCGTCGCTGTGGGCCATCTATGTCAAGTGCGTCATACTAAAGAGTGTAAACAGAGAGAACCCCGCTCAAATTCCTATTCCTACACAAAACACAAGCTCCTGCTGAAGTTAACAAATTAGATTTATTATATAAGACCCCGTAGTCCTACGTCACCATTGCGTACAACCCCATAGGGCTGTCCCTTGTAGTTTTAATTTGAATCCCGCTAATTTGGCCGCTGTGAAAATAATACAAATAATTCAAACGTCAATTAGGTCGTGGAATGGAGTAAAGCAAAATGAGCAAAATGGAACACAGCGAAACAAAAAATAAGGCTGCCAGAATGTTATACACAGCAAAAAAAAATGTAATATCGATCAATGTAATTCAAGCTGATGTATGAAATAATGATGTAATAGCAAAAAGTAGATACAATGTTACATCAATGGATGTAATTTTGTTCGCAAAATCGATGTACATCGTACAATGCGATATTACACAACCGATGGATTGACCTGGTTGCAGCAGTTTCGATGTAATATTCAACAACTTTTTTTGCTGTGTAAGCAATTTATAGTAGAAAGGAAAATGAATGTTAAAAACGTTCTGAAGTGTACCGTGATGCACCCTTATTCCAATTATAGTCGCTATATTCATAGTCTGGCGAATAGAATCTCGGGAACCAATTGAGTTGTCAAATAGCGGAACCAATCGAGCAAATCACGACCAACAACAGAAAAGAGCACATCAGCTATTGTGAACAAAACTTCGGAAACCCTTTTATCGTGACTCATGGCTCGCTTTCGCAAACTAACACCATATTTGGGTTGGGGCAAGTTTCCCCTATCCGATGATGCTGGTAATTTGCGTTCGATTGGCGAGGAAAGAATAATCAACGTTTTGTTTATAAAAGTTGAAAGTACCTATTCAATTGTTGGTCTACAATATATTGAATTGGTTCCGCTTTTTGATAGATCGAAATTCTATCCGCTACACTATAGATATAGCGACTATAATTCCAATCAGCGCCTAACCATAGGCCCAACTCCGTTCACGTGGATCTAAGCATTGAAAATCAAGCCGATTTGTCGTGAAACATCATTCAAACTATGTAAACATGCACTAAACTAAGGGATAACCAACTCTGCACACTGTGCCGAAACACAGCATGGCACACTGTTCGGCGTACCAGGACACATGTTGACAAGTAGTACACAAACAATATAATATAAAAAGGCATCACTGTCACGTCAAAACTCGTTTTGCCAACCGCTAAGGTTGACTACTTCGTTTACTCCATTGGGCTTCACAATGGATTCGAAAAAATCCAAGGGAGTAATTTCCGAGGTATTTTCTGCACTTTGAATCTCGTCAAAATCAACATATCTTATCCGATTTGTAGCAAAACTCCCAGTGGCTAGTGATTTCGTCCAGAACAGCCAGAAGTTCTACCACATTGTTGTCGGTAGAGAAGGTCTTGTTGAAACGGCTGAAATGGGTTACCACCAGCGACGATTGGTCAAATGACTAAAACATGTGGTCTTCCAATATGACGGTACCAACAATCAATACGAAACTAACGATTTTGAATTGGCTCACTACTTCACTAGCCTATTGGTCCCAAGCAAATCGTTTAACGTACCCCATTCTAGTATAAATTCTAGTACTACACTATGTTTGTTTTGATTCGCTTTGAAAGTTTGACAGATAAAATGAGGGGTTCGTGGATTTTCCTATGTTTCGAGAGGTGCATCGATTAGCTCGAGACCGAAGATAGTACCAGAGCTGAGCCAAAAAGTTGAGCTCGTTTCTTCGGGACCTTCTGGTCTTAGAGTGACCTCTATGACGGTACGATATGGAATGCGAACGGCGAACTGTATGGACGAAAATCTTCTGAACAACGACAAAATTGTTCCGGCTGAGTCTTGCAGGTTCAATTATCGGTATTGCTAAGGGTCTTCCGGGTGGTTTCAGTTGGGTATGAACTTCGATGGGAAATCCACAGGACTTAAAAGGGATGTCCAGTGGCGTCCCGTAACCTCACTTTTTACCTGTGCACCAACTTTCAAAACCAGATTTAATGCCATATTCATACTCGAATCGGTTGAAAAATAAACTTAATCTTGAATAAACTCGAAACTTCATAATCTCGATATCTATCCATTGCATGCAATATTTTGATAATTGTTTATGTTTTGAGAGTTGGTGCACAGGTAGATTGAGGTTAAGGAAACGCCACTGGGGATGTCGAAACGTATTAACCTCAGATCTGGACACTTAATCTAGTTCGGTAAAATCTCCAACAGCCGATTACCTCGGCATTTACTTTTGCTGATATCTCTGCAAAATATCTGTTTGTTAGCTGATATCTCAGCAAAATGTTATTTGTTAGCTGAGTCTCGGCAATTGTGTTACTGAATCTCAGCAAAATAAATTGCAGAACTGCTCGGCTGTTGGAATCTCGGCGAAAAAATTTAAGTGTGTATGGTTGCCTTAACGCAATAGTTCAAGTACATTAAATTCCAACAGTCCGACATCAAGCACATACCCATCATTCACGATCCGGCCATTTTGTCGATGCATCTCTGTCATCATCCTTCTGTTGAACTAGTTTGTCACAAGAGACCCCGATCAGGTGGCTTACCGATCAGTTCTCATAAGGTCTGTAAGGCCTTACTCAATCTCTACAATTTACGCGGTAGAGGGGGTTTCGCTGGGGTAAACGGTTCCCACATGACGACTCTAAGCACCCTGCTGTTTGGCAAGAGTCCATGGGTGTGCAGATGAGGAACAATAACCACAGGGTCCTGCCTGCAGTAGCTTATCTGGTTCACAGGCCATTTCCAAAGTATGACTGATCTGGAGTGGGGGGATATTTGATGGTTTTCATCGGTGGTACAATTGGTTTTCATTGGTAGTACATTGCATAGGGTACCAAAACTACATAAGATCATGAACTTGCTAAGTTTGAATATGTGTAATTGGGTGGTGGTGGTAGGAGACACCATAACCAGCGGCACGATCGACTTGGATGATATCTTCGAGGTTATGTACTTCTGAGTGAGTCGATCAGATGAACTGGTTCGAAGATGTTGTTTCTAAGGTGGGATTGAACTTACACCCATTCGCGTTCTGGTTTCGCTTTGGTCGGGGAATATTTAATATGCATCTGAAGGAAATTTCCTCGACCATCAATCAGGTTACACCTTCGTTTCTGCACACGTTTCTTTTGAACGGGTTGAATTTGCTCTTCCACTACCCGCTCCGCTCTCGTTCAAATAAGAATGATGCTGTAATGATGAAGTAAAATTTTGACAACCTTGGCTAAGGCTCTGAACCATTTGGCGATTTTTATTTTAACTTTTGGTTAAAATTTGACAGATGGAAAGTTATCGATGAACCCTGCTATCCGAACATAGTTATTTCTGACAGACAAGAAGTTAAATTTTGACAACCGTGGGTCGAAAACCGGTAGATCGACAGCACGGGGATTTTCGAACATAGAAAATAACTTTCGAAATGTCACTTTTAATCATGAGTTAAATTTAACTCGGCAAATGGTTCACAGCCTTAGGCACTGAACCATTTGGCGAATTTTTAACTTTTGGTTAAAATTTGTCAAATGAAAAGTTCTCGATTTACCCTGCTCTCCGCGAGGCTCTCCGAGCATGGTTATTTCTGACAGACAAGAAGTTAAATTTTGACAACCGGTCGATCGACGGGGATTTTCGAACATGGAAAATAACTTAATACACACTTAACAGCTTTAATGTTTGCCATAAACCATCAATGAAATTGAAAATGTAAACGCAATCGCAAAACTTGTTTTCACAGCTTTCGGCACAACTAAATCTCGCGGAGCAGATTACGGTGTGTAGATTTAAATACCCCTTGCACTGACTCCACAATTATGGACCACCAACAAATATGGATTACTTCAATTTGATTAACACGCTAGACTGACTGAATTATTTTTAGCTGATCCATAATTTTTTGGTCAGTGGATGTAAAACTAAATCACTGTTGTCAAATCGTTTTGATATTCAGTGTTTTGATTTGAAGTTAGGCGCTGATTGGAATTAGGGTGCCTCACTGCACTTATAAAAATGTTCTATAATTACTTGCTGAGAAGCAAAGTAACATGTTGAACCTAGTTCGCTGATGGCTTTTGGTCTGTTTCTTGTTTGGACGAATGAATTGTTCGACAGTGGAGACATGGCGATTCCTGAGGGGAGAAATATCTGTCATCAATTGAATGTCCAACACACACACCACAAACGAAGTTACAGACGGAGCGGCTCGAAAACTTTGGTGACTAACCTGCTATTGCAATTTTACAGTGTACCACATGGCAACACCACTACTACTGGATTGTACCACATGGCAACACTACTACTGGATTGAACTAGCATTTTCACCAAATGTACTAGAATGTTTTGGTTCTATCTCTTTCACTCTACTCAACACTGAAATGCATAAAAAAATGACAAAATGATACACTCTTTGCACACTGTCAAAGAATCATTGTACACAAAATCAACTTTGTGCAAAACCAAAACAAAAATACTATCCCATCTGGTGGGTGATGGGACAAGCTTCTAAGAAAATTCTATTACAGCGAACTACATTGTTTTAATTGATTTCTTCGCCAGTTAGTCGTCTGTCACTTCGTTTGTGCACACACTGTCCAACGAAACATCTTACCGATTTGTGCGAGATAGTACAGATAGTTAGTTATCTTTATTAAGGAGACTTTGAGCCGAACGCTGCAACCCATGGGAGATGTTCTCCACCATCATCGTCGCACACTAAATGCTGCACTGGGCTGGCCTCGCCCAACATGCGGCCGCAGGACGAAAGTATTCATGCTCTGCTCCGAGCGGAAATGATTCAGCACTATCATGTTGGCGTACGTGTAGTATATGTAGTGCGCGTATGGTGGGTTCTCGTTCTCCGTCCACTGATCCGGCGTGGTCACGTCCCCATCGAACAGTGGATTCTCCGGTTTGGACTCGTCATCGACGGAATCGAACCCAATCATGTACTACAGGAACTTTTGCAACTCCGGATGTTGGTTCGGGTTGTTTGTGGCGTCGAACAGCGGGTTTGAAAATGTTGTCCAAAATCTGCTGGAACGAGCTCATCAGCTGGTTGGTCTTGAAGATGTCCCTGTGTGTGTGTGTGTCATCCTCTATCCCTCACCCAGCCGGGGGCGTTGGACAAATAGAACTGCGAATAATTTGATCAAATCTCATGCTCCGTAATGGCAACAATCAATACGAAACTAACGATTTTAAATTGGCTCACTACTTGACTAGCCTATTGGTCCCAAGCAAACGATTAACGTACACCATTCTAGTCGAAATTCTAGTACTATGCAATGTTTGTTTTGATTCGCTATGAAAGTTTGACAGATAAAATGAGGGGTTATTGGTTTTTCCTATGTTTCGAGGGGTGAATCGATTAGCTTGGGACCGAGAAGAGTACCAGAGCTGAGCCAAAAAGTTGAGCACGTTATTTCGGGACCTTCTAGTCTTAGAGTTACCTCTATGGTAATGGTGCCCTTTATGTTGTGAAGACTAGTACTTCAAAAAGGGTAACTTTTGAGGCAAGACAGGGTGTCCTCAACAAGTTAAGGGAACAGGATGTACTAGATGTCCACAACAGGTACAGCAAAACATCACATAGACGCCCTTATTCACACTAACTACTCAGGGGATAGAAGGTCAAGAAGAGCCACCGCCGCCAACTAAAGCTTGAACCGGGTACCTGCCCTAATAAAAATTGTATGGTTAATTTGCTTAACGACGTGTTCTGGGTATCATCCAAACCATTTGTGGAATAATTCAATGATTTGGGTTATCGTTCGTTTATGGTTATTTTTTATTAGGGTGGGACTCCCACGATATACCCGTGGCAATGGTCAGCAGACGATGCCCTGTGCGTATTTAGTATGTAATATGTTTTATTTTGATACACAAAATGTTTGAAGCCGTGCGTCATCTAAACCATAATTTGCATCACCACAAATACACTTGTCAACAATCTTCAACTGGAACGTACTCACCAAATCACTTCACCCGGGAGCGCATTTCCGATGCTTCAACGCATATTTTTCTCTCCACTCCAACCACACAACAACCAAATATCACTTTTCTTCACTTTTCTTTTTCAAGACACTACGTACACAAAAGCAATGCACATCGCAAAACCCTAACAATAGATCAGCGCCGTGCTCATCACCGCGTAAATAAACAGAAATTAAAATTTTCACTCGCGATGCAACAAATTTCTGGTCCGGGAGAAACAATCAAACCACGCAGCGCCAAATCTTCTGATGCTTGCAATTTTGCAAACATGATGAATCATGTTTTCTTTCTTGATTCTAAAACTTCTCGGAAAGCGAGAAAACCACCACTCGCACACGTATAACCGTCCGGGAGGCAGAGTGCCAGCGCTAATCCGGCAAATGCAGCCGAAAACTATGAAAGAGAATGCACGCACAAAACAGAGACCAAAGTTAGACGCAACCGTATCCAAAGGCGTTCGAAACTCGACTCCTGGTTGGTCTTGAAGATGTCCCTGGAAGATAAATTTGATTTGTTAGAATCGTCATGCTTGAAACAAAGGACCTCCCCACCCAGTAACTTTCTAAAGTCTAGGAATTTGAATCAACCAGCGGATGTTGTTTGAGTACACGTTTCCGTCGATGGCCCACTTGGCCAGTTTATACCACTCGTCCGGCGACTTGCCGTAGATCGAAAGGCGCAGTTCGGCGTTCTGGTACTTGCTTTCATCAAAGTCGCTGGCCACCTCCTCGAGGGGGGGGGGGGGGGTTGGTCCCGAACAATCAAACAAAAAGCTGCGAATACAAAATTGCGAGGCCAAAAGTCAATGTGAGACTGAAACGATATGAAAATGTAGCGCATGACAGTTGTTGTGGCTGATGTTATTTTCTTTTATGATATGTATGATGAATCATCCCATTTAATGTTAATTAAATGTTAAAGCAATCGGATAGCTCTGAATGATTTATCATGCAATGACGACATGGTAAATTCGCTCAGTGTAACCAATTGACAGCTCGCTCCTAGAGTCGGTGTATAATGAGTCACGCCAAGAGAAAAACAGTTGAACTCGCATCACGGTTTTCGAAAGATTCCAATTCATTTCACTTGGCAACAGAGGACTTCTACAACAACTTCAAATGACTTCTAGCGAGAGAAAAAATACTGCGGCTGTAGTAAATCATTATATCAGTGATTTTGTCAAATTATCTTAACAAAAAATAGTAGAAATTCTCATTACTAATCATTACCGAGCGTATCCCATGACAATTTAACGCTCACTGCGTGTTTATGCTCATTTCTTCGATTATATTTTATATTTTATTGCAATACCTTTCGGGAACCTTTCATAGCGTCGTAATGTTTATTTACTTTGCACGATAGGTAGTCGCTTGGACAGTTCAATAGGTAGACTTGGCTCCACTCTTGGCGTGACTCATTATACACCGACTCTACTCGCTCCCATACAAAATCCTACCAAGGGGCGCTAATATGGTGTTTTTTTCTCAATATAATCGCACTTATTCAAAATAGTGTCAATGTATAGGGATGAACTTCTGAAAATCAGTTCCATTTTTAATGCGGATTTAACCTACGAATACGCATTTAGATCAATATCCTTAAAAAAAAACAAATTATCTCTCAATTATGCTAACCATGAATCGCAATATTTAAAAATATTCTAGTTTTTGAAATGGGTTTATAATTTTTTTAGATTTGATTAATCTTGTTCGAAATTTAAGATTCATTTTTCTCAGTTCAAGCACATTGCGACATTGGCCCTTATTCCAGCTGTATCTAGAAATGTTCACAGAACTCCATCGTTCGTCTCCATCAATTTCGCAGTGGGCGAGTAAAGCGCTTTTCGTTCGTGAAACTGTCATTTTTCTCATAATCCCAGAATCAAAATTATTTCATGACACTCGCGAGTGTTTGTTTGTGATTGTTTGAAAAGTTGTTGGATTTGGAAAATTATTTGCTTCGTATAGCTGGCGCAAAAAAAAAGCCTACCGCAGCTAAATAAAATCTTCTAAAATCTACGCCAGCACCACCGTTTGCGCGTTTGTCAGCCGCTTTCGAAATGGGTCCCACCAAAATGACACCGGAGGACCAGCAGTTCAACATCAACTTTGTCGCCGAAGTGGAGAAGCACCCGTGCCTGTTCGATAGCAACAGCACGGAGTACAAACAGGCCCAGGTTCAGGATAAGGCTTGGGTTGCGGTTTCCGCGAGCGTCGGCGAGGGCGTTGATTTGTGCAAAAAGCGCTGGAGGAACCTGAGATGTTGCATGACGCGGTACTTGAAGTCGGTTCGGGACAATATCGATAGCGCGGCTAACCTGAGGAGGAAACCGTACTATTTGTACAATCATATGCAATTTGTTGTACCTTACTTGAAGATGAAAGATGGTGATACTGCTACGTATGAATCGGAGGACTCGGCATGGATCAAGAATAACAATAGCGGCGATATGGGGGATATGCTTAAGCCAGAGGAAGAGGTCGAGGAGGAAGAGGATCACGAAATTGAAACAATTGACGTTCAGGAAGAAGATCACCAACAGATCAAGCAAAGTATAATCCAGTCGATTAAGATACTTCCTATGGGCCAGGAAAGCCAGACCCAGGAGACGACCACCACGTATGAAATCATCGAAGCAACTCCTTCCAAACAAGCGCGTCTTGAAGCCGTGCATGTCACGCCGGAGTCCACTTCCAAGTCACAGTCACAGCACCAGTCTACGCCGCATATAATCAAGACGAAAGCGGACGGCAACGTCAAGCACTACACCTACGCAACAGTAACGGCGGCCCCGCAAACGACTGCAAGCACCATGTACACTTCTACTCCCACAATCACGGGTCAGTACACGCTACAGCAAGCGCCCAGCTCCAGCTCCAATCATCAGCGGCAACAGTCGTTGTCGTCTTCGGTGCAGCAGCAGCAGCTAGCCGCCAATGCCGCGGCCGATGCGGACAACAACTTCTTCAAGAGTCTCATTCCCGACATCCAGTCGATGAGCATGGACCAGAAGCGGAAGCTGAAGATTGGCATTCTGCGGCTGATCGACGAGATACTGAGCACAACGTAAAATGCGGGCGGCTTCGGGATGAGGCCGGCGCGCTGAGATTCGCGTATTGTACAATGATGTCATGTTGGAGCGTCGTTAGTTTAGTAGTGCTTCTTGGCTCTTCTTTTTTTTTCTCTTCTGAGAATAGGTATGATTTTCGTTGTAGTTTGCGTCAATTTTTATTTTTTTTTCTTATTAACTAGTAGGTACTAAAAAGTTTAGTAGAAGTAGCAATTTTCTGCCGCAAAATATTTTCCTTTTCAAAAAAATGTATCTCAATCTATTATTATATCAAAATGTGTACAAGTGTAATTTTAATTGATACATGGTAAATAAAGTTTCATTTTAACAGTAAGACAGATTATTGTCATCTTTTCCGAAAGTTTGTGTTAGATGGAACTCTTAACAAACGTTTTAAACGTATAAAGGAGACAGAATCATGTGCGGGGTATGGAACAATCATTTAAGACACCTTTCTATAGAATTAAAATTCTGAGTACCACTCCAGGAGATCTTCGAAGGAATTCGAAAAAGTTTTCCAATAGAGTTTGCCGAAAAAAATATTAGCAGAAATCTAAGGAATTTGTGAGGAGAAATGCAAATGAATTCTTAGGAGACTTGCTATGTGAGTAGAATTCCAATGGAAGGAGTGACATTCAAGAGGAAATCTTACGTGAATTCAATGAACAATATGCGAATCTTTCCAAAGGTTTTCTTACTGAGGAGAATGTCAAGGTAATTCCGAGAAAATTTCAAAGAAATTTGAATTCGGGGATAGGTCCAACGAAATTTTGAGGAATATTTCAATGGAATTGCCAGAAATTCAAAAAAGCGTTCAAAGTGAATTTCTAGAATAATTCCATGAGAGTTTCGTGAGAATACAAAGCGAATGCTGAGGAGAACTCCAAGAATATGGAATGGACTTCAGAACTACTTGATGGTTCCCTAAATTTTCCTGAAGTTAATGAAACTGCCTTGAAGTTCTTTTGTAGTTAGTAGGAGATGAACCAGCCTGCGGCTGTAAATCTCCTAAATAGACATAATAAAAAAAAAATCTTTTGTAGTTTGAGAAACTTGTCTGATGCTCCTGAATTCCTCTGAGGTTATTTGTTCTTGCCTGAAGTTCTCGAAACTTCTCTAATTTATTTTGCAGTTCTCATGAAGCTTGTTGCACTGCCCGAAATTTAATTGAACTGTCCTAAAAATGTGTGTCGCCGCCAAAAGCTACTTTCTTCTCCGGTTAGGGAGAGTCTTTCGCTTACTAGGTCAGACACTGTTTCTCGATTCTAGGAGCTACTTTTTTCTCCGGTTAAGGAGAGATGTTTTCACTTCTAGGCCGAAAGTTCTTTCGGATTCAAAAAGAGAAGAATCTGGAGTAACCTACGAAACTTGATTTTATTCAACAAAATTGTACAAAGTGATCTTACGGCTCTGTGTTGCATTAGAAACATATAATTATGTAAAACTTTTACATGATTTGTCCAGGGTTTAACATATCCCTTACAATACCGATCTTTAACATAATTTGCCTATTCTAATTAGCTAGGATTCCGATCGCCCTTGAAAGGGTAAATTTGTGTTGTTTAGACCTTATAGCATACCATGCGTGGGCGTGTTTATCCCACTTGAACGCAGAAACATTCCTAAATAAATACTGCAGTTAGATTATGTAAAACGAGCTCTCACTCCTTTTGCCCTACTTTTCATTTCATATTCTTGGCCTTGGTATCAACGTCAGCTAGGGCTACCCTAATAAAAAATAACCATAAACGAACGATAACCCAAATCATTGAACTATTCCACAAATGGTTTGGATGATACCCAGAACACGTCGTTAAGCAAATTAACCATACAATTTTTATTAGGGTATGCAAACGAGATGCAATTATGTGGTTATCTTATGGTTTTGGTTTTAAATTAATTGCCTCGCGGTAACAATGTGTAAGCATCCTTTAACTTTGAACTTATGTAAAGACCTTAATAATTATCTGAGCATCTTAGTATCTCTGATCTTCTCTGAAAATCTGGGAACTTCTTAAAAATTTCCGCTAATTTTCTGAAACTGATGGAACTGAACTCCCTCTATTTTTGGAGCTTACTAAACTTCTTTGAAATACTCTCGCATTTTGCTAATGTTTATGAAAGTTTGTTACACTTCTATGAAGTTCTCGAAATGTTTCTGAAGATCTCTGCTGCACTTCTGTGAAGCTTTCGAAGTTTTTCTGAAATTTCTGCTTCCGCAATTTTCTTGGAATCAAAACGAAATAATTAATATACCTAGTTTGTTTTTTTTTTTTTTTTTTTAACTCTTTATTTGTTCCAAATTCAAAATAAATTACATTTCATTTTAAACTAGGTGCTCCAGTTACTGCAGTAACGTACCAGCCTTAATTGTTATGATATATATCTAAGTGTTTTTACATTGTTCATGTCTTGGCAATTCAGTATTTTAAACAGGTTTTTTAACCTGCATGTCAGTATAACAATTGATATCTTAAAACTAAAAACTAAAACTAAATCTTATCTAAGTATAAAGGGAATTAATCGTTGCAATTGAGGATTGCAACGATTTTTGCCTGAAATTATTAATTATTTTGTTGGACATTTGTGCTAAAGTCTCAACATTCGAAATTCTATGTACTACGGTTGTACTGTACCAGGGAGGCAACTTCAAAATCATTTTCAGAATTTTGTTCTGAATCCTTTGAAGTGCTTTTTTCCTGGTAGTGCAGCAACTAGACCATATTGGTACAGCGTAAAGCATGGCCGGTCTAAAAACTTGTTTAAATATTAGAAGTTTATTCGTCAGGCAAAGTTTGGATTTCCTGTTTATAAGAGGATACAAACATTTAATATATTTGTTACATTTGGCTTGAATGCCCTCAATGTGATCTTTAAAAGTTAATTTTTGGTCAAGTATTAATCCAAGATATTTCACTTGGTTTGACCAGGAAATTGGAACTCCGTTCATAGTGACTATGTGACTACTACTAGGTTTCAAAAACGAAGCTCTAGGCTTATGTGGAAATATTATAAGTTGAGTTTTGGAAGCGTTGGGAGAAATCTTCCATTTTTGTAAATAAGAAGAGAAAATATCTAAACTTTTCTGCAGTCTGCTGCAAATAACACGAAGACTTCTTCCTTTAGCGGAAATGCCTGTGTCATCAGCGAACAAAGATTTGTGACAACCCTGAGGCAAATCAGGGAGATCCGAAGTGAAAATGTTATACAATATAGGCCCAAGAATGCTACCCTGAGGAACTCCTGCTCTAACAGGTAGTCGATTAGATTTGGAATTTTGATAATTTACCTGCAGAGTTCTGTCAGTTAAATAATTTTGAACTAATTTCATAATGTAAAGTGGAAAATTAAACTTTTTCAATTTAGCAATCAAACCTTCATGCCAAACACTGTCGAATGCTTTTTCTATGTCTAGAAGAGCAACTCCAGTTGAGTGGCCTTCAGATTTGTTTGAACGAATTAAATTGGTAACTCTCAAGAGTTGATGAGTAGTTGAATGCCCATGGCGAAATCCAAACTGCTCATCTGCAAAAATTGAGTTCGTATTGATGTGAAGCATCATTCTATTCAAAATTATCTTTTCAAAAAGTTTACTTATTGAAGAAAGCAAACTTATTGGACGGTAGCTAGAAGCTTCAGCTGGATTTTTATCCGGCTTCAAAATTGGAACAACTTTTGCATTTTTCCATTTATCAGGAAAGTATGCCAAATGGAAACATCTGTTAAATAATTTTACCAAGAAAGACAAGGTACTCTCTGGGAGTTTTTTGATGAGGATATAGAAAATTCCATCATCACCTGGAGCTTTCATATTTTGAAAATTTTTAGTTATAGACCTTACTTCGTCCAAATCAGTCCCCCAGGAATCATCAAAAATATTTTCCCGAGAGAAAATATTCAGAAAATCCCGAGCAACCTGATTCTCAATAGGACTAGTAAGACCCAAACTGAAATTATGGGAACTCTCGAATTGCTTAGCAAGTTTCTGAGCTTTTTCCAAATTTGTGATCAAAATTTTACCACCTTCTTTAAGCGCTGGAATAGGCTTTTGAGGTTTTTTCAAAATTTTTGTGAGTTTCCAAAAGGGTTTGGAACTCGGGTCTAATTTAGAAACATTATTTTCAAAAGTTTTGTTCCTCAGGGCAGAGAATCGCTTTTTAATTTGTTTTTGCAAATCCCGCCAGATAACTTTCATGGCAGGATCGCGTGTTCTTTGATATTGTCTCCTACGGACATTTTTAAGACGGATCAAGAGCTGAAGGTCATCGTCTATTATAATTGAATCGAATTTAACCTCGCATTTTGGTACTGAGGCAGCTCTTGCTTCAACTATAGAAGTAGTCAGAGATTCAAGAGCATAATTAATTTCATCTTTGGTTTGCAAAGGAATGTTTGGATCGAAGTTATATTCCATAAATGTTCGATACTGCTCCCAATCAGCTCTATGGTAATTGAAAGTAGAGCTGTTGGGATTACAAATTATTTCTTGGGATATTTCAAAAGTTACTGGAAGGTGATCAGAACCGAAGTCAGCATGGGTAACCAATTGGCTACAAAGTTGACATGAATCAGTTAAGACCAAATCAATAGTGGAGGGATTTCTTGCAGAAGAAAAGCATGTTGGGCTGTTTGGATATTGAATAGTGTAATAACCTGCAGAACAATCATCAAACACAATATTACCATTGGAATTGCTTTGAGCATTATTCCATGAGCGGTGTTTTGCATTAAAATCACCAATAATGAAGAATTTAGACCTATGACGGGTAAGTTTCTGGAGGTCACCCTTGAGAAAATTCTTTTGCTGGCCTACGCATTGGAATGGCAAATAGGCAGCTATAAACGTAAGTTGTCCAAATTTTGTTTCAACAGAAACCCCCAATGTTTCAAAAACTTTGGTTTCAAATGAAGAAAGAATTTTATGTTTGATTCGTCTATGAATAATGATGGCAACGCCACCACAGGGTCCATCAAGACGATCATTTCTATAAATCAAGTAGTTTGCGTCCTTCTTAACCTTATGGGCAGGTTTAAGGAACGTTTCAGTTATAACGGCAATGTGCACGTTATGAACTCTTAAAAAGTTAAATAGCTCGTCTTCATTATCTTTAAGAGATCGAGCATTCCAATTTACAATATTTAATGCTTTAAAATCCATTACTGAATTTTAAAGTCATGACAATATTATTTGCAAATTTTACTCCAGTTTGAATAGCATCAAACATGGAGTTAGATTTAAGCATAT